CCCATGCCGCAAGTTGTTGTACTGTCTTCAGGTACCCCTAGTTTACACATCTCAAATAGCTAATGAAGCTCTATAGCTGATGGCAGTGTGCTTGCTTGCTGGTCTGACCAACTTTTGCAGCTTTGAATCTTTGTGCCCTCTGCTTCAAGAGTCGATGCCATCTTCAAAGTTTTCCTTAGCTTTGTTGGGGTGGGGCCACCTCTTCTGTTCTGTTCTGTCTAAGGAGATTTTTGGCCAATCGGCAAGAAAAGTGACCTCACAGCTTCATCTGTCAACTCTAGATTTAATCCGTCCATAGCTTTACCAGACACCAAGCCATCAGTTGCTGAGAATCTGATGCAGAGTCTCTCCAGTCCTAGCTGGATGAACCTGTCAGTCTTTTGCAATCACTCCCAAACTGATAGACTGTTTCAGCGCTCATTAATGTGGTGCTCCCTTCCTGTGTTTTGGAAGATCCTAATGATATATGCTAGTTGTTGGGTTGGAAAGGAGGCCTGGGCAGGCAGTGTAGGGAATTTGGATGTTGCAGTTGTCTCCTCTTCCAATCCTGGACCTTCAGGCACTTTTACTGTCCCTTCAGCAGTGAACTGTCTGACCAGAGGGTCATCTGGTCAAGATTCAGTCAAACAATGCCAAAGCAGTTGTCTACATTAACCATCACTGAAACACCAGAAGCAGATCCTTTCTCTGTAGAATGTTGTTTTCCAGCCAGGCATGGACAATCGGCAGGCAGTCTTCCTTAGCTAGCAGGGTCTGGGCCCAAGGGAGTGGCCCCAACAACCTAAGGTGTTCAGTAACTGTGTTGTAGATGGAGGCACTGGATGTGAACCTTCGGTACTCCAGGTTCAACTACAAGCTGGCCAGATTTGTCTCCAGGTTGACCAGTACACCCTATTCAATGCATTTTCCTTCCCTGAAGTTCCTTTCTTGTCTGCTTTGAAGGATCAATATGGAGAGCATTGCGGTTATTCTTATAGCTCTGGATTGACCCTGGCAGATGTGGTACTGCAGCCTGATAAGACTCCTGGCTCTTCAGATCAAGAGTATCTTCTTTCTCAAGGACCATTTTTTTCTTTTTCAATGCTGTTTCATGGTTCATGGCTTTAACGACCTGGCTGTTGAAGTCCGGGTTATGAGAGAAAGGAGCTTCTCTGAATCAATTCTCCTTCGATGCTAAAAAAAGCTAGGAAGTCTATTTTTCGCAAGGTCTATAACCATCAAAACCACACTTATTTGGCTTTGAGGATCTTACCCCGGGACATTTTGAGGTGGAAGTATCCTCGCCTTCTTACAATTTGGCCCTCAACGCTATTAATATGCTTTTGCTATCTTGTCACAAAGATCATTGACCTTTCTTTCCTTTGATAACATTTTTGTTCAGGGTGGCTCCACCTGTTCATTTTCTTGTGACTCCATAGAATCTGAACTTTGGTTCTCTTTGTACTTCAAAAATCTCCTTTTGAACCCATCAGAGATATACCCATAAGTTGGAGGTTCTTGTAGTCATCATCACTGCAAGGTAAATGTTTGACCTGACAGCCTTATCCTGCAAAGTATCATTTCTGGTGATGTAAAAGGACAAGGTGCTGTTGAACTTCCTACCTAAGGTAGTTTCAACCGTTTTGCTTTAATCAGGTTATCGTGCTTCTATCCCTCTTGCCATCTCCAGTCCACCAGAAGGAGATTTCCCTCTGTTGGATGTAGTTTGGTCTCTGAGAGTTTATCTCTGCACCACTTCTTCCTTCAGAAAGACTTGACTTTGTCATTCCAGATGTTCTTCATAAAGGTAAACCAGCATATCATCCAATTATTTCTCAGTAGCTCAAACAGAACATTATCAAGGCTTACAGGAAGGGTTTCTGTTAAGACACATTCTAGTAGATCTGTTAGTGCTAATTGGGCTCTTCAGCATCAGGCTACTGCTTCCCGGATTTGCAAGGCTGCCTCGTGGTCCTTTCTTCAAGCATTTTCCAAGTTCTATCAGGTTCAGGTCTCATCTGATGCCATCTTCAGGCATGAGGTCCTTTTTAAAGGATAAGTTCACCTTTTAACAAAAAATAATAAATGCACATTTTTTTGCAGGTAAAAAATGTGCATTTATTATATTTTGTTTGCGGAGCCTCTAAAGCATTGCACCAGCTATCAGCAGATTGCTGGTTTCATGCAGGGCTTCCCTTTACCTGTCAGTATATCTGCTTGCTTGTACATTCCGTACGGGCAAGCAGATACTGACAGGAAGGCTCAATGAACTACCATGGCAATGTGGAACGCTGTGGTAGTTTATTGAAAACTACAAGCCAACAACCGCAAAGGCTGCCAGGACAGGTAGTTTTCCCATTCACAGAATACTATGAATGAGTGACGGGGCTGGGCAGGGGGGAGCCCCACACGGCCGCATTTTTTAAAATTGTGACAGCAGGAGGGAGAAGATCCTTCACTAACTGTCACAGTAGGGATTGAGGGGTGCGTGGAGCAGTCCAATCATAACATGAATATGGGTGGGAACATGTTATGAAAGGTGAACTTCTTCTTTAAGGCAGCAATTTTAAGCTGAAGGCGGTCCCCAGATTTCTATCTTTAGCGGGCCTGTTACGGTTTTGTTTGCTGTTGGCCACCCCTCAGTTGGACTGCTTTTGGATATCTCAACTGTTATGGACCAAAAAGAAAATAGGGTTTTTGCACTCACCATAAAATTTTCTTGAAGCCCATTGAGGGACACAGGCTTATAACCATGCTTTTGGAGTAGCTTTGCTATGTCAGGGGGAGGAGTTATTCGAGGCTAGCCTACAGTTGTTTTGTTGGCCATTGTCCAAACGTCCAGTAGGCTGCAGTATAATCTGACCAGTTCCTGTGTCCCTTAGTTGTCTCCAAGAAAAAGATTGTAAAGAGAGTACAAGTATCCTATTATTTCTAGACTAACCTCTGGAAATGAGAGGAGCTAAGGCAGGGGTGTGAAACTCCATTATCCAGGGTTTTTTCTTTTCTTTTTTTTGCTTCTTTCAAAGGATAGGTGCAGGAACTCAACCATGCCTCCCTGCCTAACTGCTTTGAATCATGGTAGTTGTGGCCAAATTGCACGGTGGGAGGGTCTTAAAGGGCACTTTACCAGGGATGTGCCATGTACAAAGTGCAGTTTCAGGGGTGTCCTATGCACAGAGTGCAGCGTACAGGGGTGCACAGGGTTATGGATGTGCCGTGTGCGGAGTGCAGGGTTTGGGGATGGGCCGTGCGCAGAGTGCAGGGTTTGGGGATGGGCCGTGCGCAGGGTGCAGGGTTTGGGGATGGGCCGTGCGCAGGGTGCAGGGTTTGGGGATGGGCCGTGCGCAGGGTGCAGGGTTTGGGGATGGGCCGTGCGCAGGGTGCAGGGTTTGGGGATGGGCCGTGCGCAGGGTGCAGGGTTTGGGGATGGGCCGTGCGTAGGGTGCAGGGTTTGGGGATGGGCCGTGCGCAGGGTGCAGGGTTTGGGGATGGGCCGTGCGCAGGGTGCAGGGTTTGGGGATGGGCCGTGCGCAGGGTGCAGGGTTTGGGGATGGGCCGTGCGCAGGGTGCAGGGTTTGGGGATGGGCCGTGCGCAGGGTTTGGGGATGGGCCGTGTGCAGGGCAGGGTTTGGCAGGGATGGGGGGCCGTGCGCAGGGTGCAGGGTTTGGGGATGGGCCGTGCGGGTGCGCAGGGTGCAGGGTGCAGGGTTTGGGGATGGGCCCGTGCGCAGGGTTTGGGGATGGGCCGTGCGCAGAGTGCAGGGTTTGGGGATGGGCCGTGCGCAGAGTGCAGGGTTTGGGGATGGGCCGTGCGCAGAGTGCAGGGTTTGGGGATGGGCCGTGCGCAGAGTGCAGGGTTTGGGGATGGGCCGTGCGCAGAGTGCAGGGTTTGGGGATGGGCCGTGCGCAGAGTGCAGGGTTCGGGGATGGGCCGTGCGCAGAGTGCAGGGTTCGGGGATGGGCCGTGCGCAGAGTGCAGGGTTCGGGGATGGGCCGTGCGCAGAGTGCAGGGTTCGGGGATGGGCCGTGCGCAGAGTGCAGGGTTCAGCTCTCTTTCACAGGCTGTCCACATCTCACTTCCATCCCTTCTTGTCTCTGACCTCTGCACCACTCTTCCCCATCCCCAACCCCTGTACATATATCTTTCTACAGCCCTCATCTCATCTCCCCCCCCAAAAAAGCTTCCTTGCCTCTCCCCTCCTCGGCCTGGCTCTAGTATCTCTTGCAGTGTTGGTGACTCCGCCTCTCACTTTCAGGGAGGTTATTGGTCGGCACTGCGCATCTGGGCACAGATGGGGATCACAGCGCGTGATGCCCCATCCTACACTGCATCTGCACCTCCCTTGTCCCTGCTGCGAGTGCAGGGCAGGCAGGGATCTGTGAGGGCAGGCAGGGATCTGTGAGGCCAGGCAGGGATCTGTGAGGCAGGCAGGGATCTGTGAGGCCAGGCAGGGATCTGTGAGGCCAGGCAGGGATCTGTGAGGCCAGGCAGGGATCTGTGAGTGCTGCTGAAAGGAAAGCTGTCCCTGTGAACACTGAAAGCTTCCATGTTTACAAGTGACTGTGGTGGCCAAGGAGAGGAGGGCTAGAGCTGGAGGTGGCAGAACGGAGTTCCGGCTAAAAAAAAAAAAAAAAAAAAAGCCAAGGGTGCGAGGGCCTCATGAAATGGCCTGGGGAGGGGGGGGGGGGGCAGATTCGGCTCTCAGACCTTGTGTTTGACACATGTGAGCTAAGCTGTTTTTGAAAGTGTTCTCGTTCAAGAAAAAATAAATGGGTTTCACTTACTGTACAAAAGAAAGAGAGACTATTTGGAGCGATCAGCATCAAGCCATGGAAAATCAGATTTCAGCAGTTTAGTATAGTTTGGCTAATAAAAGCGAACATCTGGTTGCTATGGGTTACCGCACATCGCTGCTCTTTGCGTCAGGCTATTAAAGCCCACTGCGTTCTGTAATGTGCTGCAATGTATTTTTCTCTCTCGTCTGACCCCTGCTCTCTCTCTCTCTCTCTTTTCTCTGCAGGAGGATGAGTCACCGCGCAGCGTGCTAGAGGAAATGGGACTGGCTTGATAGACAAAGACCACCAACACCCCCTTCCTCCTTCCTATTTTCTTTCACCCCCGAATACTTTTAAAACCCAAATCCAGCAACCCCCCTCCCCCCCAATCCCCATTTCCCTTTCTTCCCAGTCACTGCAGAGACTCGTCTACATAACCAGCACACACACACCAGTGCCAGCTAGGATTTTGTCTAGGTAACCGTGTATGTCACAGTGTGTAGTTGCTTTTGTTCAGCTTGACCTTCCACCTTCAGACGGGCAGCCATTCTGCGAATCGAATGGTAAAAGTTAACCTGTAAAGATAGACATGTGGACGCTGTCGTTGCTGATCTTTCCTTCTGAAAATGCAAGTTGTCTGGCTGCCATGCTGATTTCAGGTGCTTTTGTTTCAAAGCAGACCGGCAGTTCTGATTTCAGGGGTTGTATTCTTGTTCTAAGGCGACGAGCATTTTCAGGAGATCAAAAATGGCAGCTTGCACACTTCTCTAAAGTTCTCCACCCACAATTTCAGTTCGGGATTATTGCATGGAAGGCTTCCATAATGGCAGCTTTGACCCCCAACAGATAGCCGCTTACCATAGCTCGGGGTGCTTTCGGAAGTCAGATGAGTTTCTGAAGGATTATGGGGTTGGTTTGCTGGAACTGGAGAGTTCAAAATTTGGTGACCAATCATCTTCTAACTTCAACTGATATAAATAAACAGCGCAAACATAGACCTCTAAATACAATCAATATATAAAGTGCGTACTAATATATCGTAAATCATATTAATAGTGAAAATTCATCATAATAGTAAACGCCAAAAGTTCGTGAAATATATAAAAAAGTTCCGTGTAAAGATAAAAAATCCAAAGTTTCTTTGCATCGAAGAATTTTGGATTTTTTATCTTTACATGGATATATTTTCACGAACTTTTTTATATATTTCATGAACTTTTGGTGTTTACTATTATGATGGATTTTCACTATTAATATGATTTACGATTTATTAGTACGCAAACACCAAAAGTTTGTGAAATATATAAAAAAGTTTGTGAAATATATCCGTGTAAAGATAAAAAATCCAAAATTCTTGCGATGCAAAGAAACTTTGGATTTTTTATCTTTACACGGATATATTTCACAAAGTTTCTTTGCATCTGAAGAATTTTGGATTTTTTTATCTTTACATGGATATATTTCACGAACTTTTTTATATATTTCATGAACTTTTGGTGTTTACTATTATGATGGATTTTCACTATTAATATGATTTAGGATATATTAGTACGCACTTTATATATTGATTGTATTTAGAGGTCTATGTTTGCGCTCTTTATATCAGTTATTGTTTGTGTTTTATCACATGGCACAACAGCAGGGTAGATCCTGTAGTAGTTTCCTTGGCGCAGGAAGAATTTTTATATCTTCTAACTTCAGCTTGTTTAATTAAAGCGGAGTTCCACTAAACCTAGGATTTCACACAAAGGAAGTAATACAAAGAGAACAGGATATTTTTTTATACAAGTACATGGCACAGCAGGTACATATCAGGAATATGAAATGTTGGCTTTATATATTTCTTAAAGTGGAGTTCCACTCACCTGTCAAAAAATAAAATTCAGCACCAGGGGCGGACTGACCATTTGGAAACTCGGGCACTGCCCGAGGGCCCGGGGTCAGTAGGGGGCCCCATGAGATGCCCCTGGTACCTTTTTAATAGGCTTTTTTGAGTTTGGGCAAGAACACAGGGGCCCCATGATCCCCTATTGCCCGGGGCCCCATGAGTTGTCAGTCCGCCCCTGCAGGGGCCCCATGATCCCCTATTGCCGGGGGGCCCCATGAGTTGTCAGTCCGCCCCTGGTCAGCAGCTACAAAAACTGTAGCTGCTGACTTTTAAAAAAAACAGCCACTTACCTGTCCCTCGGTCCCCTGGTGTCCCGCAGCCCATTTCACCGGCCATCCTGTATTCCAGGAGGCCGGCATCTTCAGTGTGTGCACCCAGCTGTGACAGCTTGCGGCTTCACCCACTGCACATGTGCGAGTAGCCCTACGCTTCATAAATGGTCCTGTAGTCTTCTGGGACTTGTCACCTGTCCCAAAAGACTACAGGGAGGGAGGACACCTTCCGCTTCCGATCGCCTAGGCCAGAGGTAGGCGACCTGCGGCTCTCTAGCTGTTGTGGAACTACATTTCCCATGAGACATTGCAAAATTGACAGTTACAGCTATGACTTGCAGAGGCACGATGGAACTTGTAGTCCTGCAACAGCCGGAGAGCCGCAGGTTACCTACCCCTGGCCTAGGCGATCGGACCGGAAGTGGGAGCGGGTGCCTGTCAAATTCGGGTACCCACTCCCCCCCCACCCGCCCCCCAAAGGTTCCCATCCTTAATGGGGAGCGGGGGAGCAGTCCTTAAAGTGGAACTTCCCCTTTTGGGTGGAGCTCCGCTGTAAGCATTGACAAAAACTGGAAGCTGATTGGTTTCTGTGCAAAGCTGCACCAGATTTTGCACTCTCCAGTTTTAGTAAATCAACTGTTTTTGTGTCCTTCCGGAATATATTATTATTATACAGGATTTATATAGCGCCAACAGTTTGCTCAGCACTTTACAATATAACGGGAGACAATACAGCAACAATACAGTTCAATACAAGAGGGTTAGGAGGGCCTGATCCTGGGAGCTTACAATCTAGGAGATATGTGATTCTTGAAGGCCACAATGCAGTCCTCAAACTCTGGGTCACAGCTGTCACGTGCTCTGGCTTTCCCACCAGCATACGAATACCAAAGCTAAAATTGTCACTGGAGAATCTTTAAGAAATGGTCAGCGTTTTATTTGAACGTTTTGAGCTTGCCAAAGACGCAACCTTTTTAAATTTGCTAAATACTAGCTAGCTGGATAAGGCATTAGATGCCCCATAGGTAAAATGACTGCTTCACTTTTTCTAAAAAGGGACCAATAGCACCCATCCACATTCTTTTTCTTGTTTTTTTTTTTTTTTTCTATTTTATTATAAATTTATTTTATAATTTTTTTTAATGAATTAATGCTACGGAGGCACTTTTTACGCAGTCCTATTTTGTACGTTGTCTGTTGCCGGAGCTCACCTCGGCCAACTCCCTTTAGGTCTGATTTTCACACATGGTGGTGGGCATTCGTCTGTATATTTCTGCACTTGCTCGTCTCTCCTGAACACACTCCTGCCACACAGTCCTGTCTGGTTCAAGGATCATCACTACTCCCATCAGCCTCTGCTACAAGGGCCTCCCTCCCTTCACTCAAACTTCTGGAATAAAACATGAGTGCTGCTAAGTTACTAACTGCCGCTTGTATGTTTTCTCTGTGTCCATTTCAGGGTAATTTGGGAAGTGTGAGCCGGGGGTTCTGCTGCCAATGGAAAGGCTGTGGGTCACCCGAATCTGCAAATGTTTTAAAAGCGTTCTTTAAAGAGGCCATTGCACTAAAATGCAGGGTCCGCTTAATAAATCAAGTCCCTCCAGTTCCAATGGTCATGGTAAGGTGGTTGTAAACCTCTGGCGTGATAGAAATGAACGAAGCATATCCTTCTATAGTGTGCACTTGCCTCAGTCCAAAGCACCGAGCGTGATTTCTGTTTGCTATCTGCGTGAGTCATTTTTGACAGGTTGTGCCAACTCCAAGGCATTGAGGGGAACAGGAGAAGAGCTCCACTACACATCTGTCTGTGATTGACAGTCTCAGCTCTTTGTTTATTTATAAGATTTTTTTATTATTATTATACAGTATTTATAAAGCGCCAACAGTTCGCTCAGCGCTGTACATTACTAAGGGAGAAAGAACATGCGACAGTACGAAAACTGCAATGTGATACACGAGGGGTTCGAGGGCCCTGCTTTAGGAAGGAGGAATCCCTCCCCTCAAGTCTCAGATTACACTCAGCTCTCTTTGAGCTGTTCACTGTGTAATCATATTCCCACCCGCTGCTTCTGGAAATTCAGAAAAGATTCTGTACCAAGTGTAACTTTTATGTTGGTGGATTTGTTTTATCTCTGTGTATCAGCTGAGGCCAGTCAGTTTGCTGGGTATATGTAAACGTTTACAACCACCTTAACCACTTGCCCTCCAGAGGATTTACCCCCTTTCCTGACCAGGCCATTTTTTGTGTTATGGCGCTGGATTACTTTACTGACAATTGCGCGGTCATGTAACACTGTAACCAGATGAAATGTACGTCTTATTTTTTTTTTTTTTTTCCCCCACGTATAGAGCTTTGTTTTGGTGGTACAGTGGGGCAAAAAAGTATTTAGTCAGCCACCAATTGTGCAAGTTCTCCCACTTAAAAAGATGAGAGAGGCCTGTAATTGGCATCATAGGTAGACCTCAACTATGAGAGACAAAATGAGAAAACAAATCCAGACAATCACATTGGCTGATTTGGAAAGAATTTATTTGCAAATTATGGTGAAAAATAAGTATTTGGTCAATATGAAAAGTTCATGTCAATACTTTTATATATCCTTTGTTGGCAATGACAGAGGTCAAACGTTTCCTGTAAGTCTTCACAAGGTTGGCACACACTGTTGCTGGTATGTTGGCCCATCCTCCATGCAGATCTCCTCTAGAGCAGTGATGTTTTGGGGCTGTTGCTGGGTAACACGGACTTTCAACTCCCTCCAAAGGTTTTCTATGGGGTTGAGATCTGGAGACTGGCTAGGCCACTCCAGGACCTTGAAATGCTTGTTACGAAGCCACTCCTTCGTTGCCCGGGCGGTATGTTTGGGATCATTGTCATGTTGGAAGACCCAGCCATGTTTCATCTTCAAAGCCCTTGCTGATGGAAGGAGGTTTGCACTCAAAATCTCATGATACATGGCCCCATTTATTCTGTCCTGTAGATGGATCAGTCGTCCTGGTCCCTTTGTGGAGAAACAGCCCCAAAGCATGATGTTGCTACCCCCATGCTTCACAGTAGGTATGGTGTTCTTTGGATGCAACTCAGCATTCTCTCTCCTCCAAACACGACGAGTTGAGTTTCTACCAAACAGTTCTATTTTGGTTTCATCTGACCATATGACATTCTCCCAATCCTCTTCTGGATCATCCAAATGCTCTCTAGCAAACTTCAGACGGGCCCGGACATGTACTGGCTTAAGCAGGGGGACACGTCTGGCACTGCAGGATCTGAGTCCCTGGCGGCGTAGTGTGTTACTGATGGTAGCCTTTGTTACGTTGGTCCCAGCTCTCTGCAGGTCATTCACTAGGTCCCCCCGTGTGGTCCTGGGATTTTTGCTCACCGTTCTTGTGATCATTTTGACCCCACGGGGTGAGATCTTGCGTGGAGCCCCAGATCAAGGGAGATTATCAGTGGTCTTGTATGTCTTCCATTTTCTAATTATTGCTCCCACAGTTGATTTGTTCACACCAAGCTGCTTGGCTATTGCAGATTCAGTCTTCCCAGCCTGGTGCAGGTCTACAATTTTATTTCTGGTGTCCTTTCGACAGCTCTTTGGTCTTCACCATAGTGGAGTTTGGAGTGTGACTGTTTGAGGTTGTGGACAGGTGTCTTTTTTATACTGATAACAAGTTCAAACAGGTGCCATTGATACAGGTAATGAGTGCAGGACAGAGGAGCCTCTTAAAGAAGAAGGTACAGGTCTGTGAGAACCAGAAATCTTGCTTGTTTGTAGGTGACCAAATACTTATTTTCCACCATAATTTGCAAATAAATTCTTTCCAAATCAGCCAATGAGATTGTCTGGATTTGTTTTCTCATTTTGTCTCTCATAGTTGAGGTCTACCTATGATGCCAATTACAGGCCTCTCTCATCTTTTTAAGTAGGAGAACTTGCACAATTGGTGGCTGACTAAATACTTTTTTGCCCCACTGTATTTGATCGCCTCTGCGGTTTTTTTATTTTTTGCACTATAAATAGACCTACAATTTTGAGAAAAAAAGTATATTTTTGACTTTTTGCTGTTAAACATGTCAAGTAAAAAAGTTTAAAAAAATCAAATTTTGTCATAAATTTAGGACAAAATGTATTCTGGTACATATCTTTGCTGGAAAAGAAAATCCCAATACATGTAAATTAATTGGTTTATGTGAAAGTGATAGCGTTTACAAATGGCGGTGTATAGACTGGGATTTTCTTTTTTACTAGTAATGTCGGCGATCAGCGACTTATAGCGAGACTTCAGTGGGCGTTCTGACACTGGCAGGGGAACTGATTTGGTGTCACTGACATCCCCAATGACACCCATACAGTGATCAGTGCTAATAAAAAGCACTGACCCTGTACTAATGGCACTGGGGAGGAAGGGGTTAACTGTGTGCTGTTTTACTGTGTGATGTGTGTGTGCTATGCAGAGCCATACAAAGCAGTGTGCTGGAGCTGACGGGAAGAAACTGTATTGTTTACATTCTCTCCCTCCGTCGGTAATGCTCCTCGATCACCGTCAAGTAACTGAGGACAAGATTGAGTGATGTCCAGATTCTTACAGTGGGATCCTGGCAGTGCTGAAGATCCCAGATGTCAGGACAGTTTAGGATTCCAAATCTTGTTGAAGTGTTTACTAAGATCTCTGGAGGCGGAGTCATTAACTCTGTGTAAGCTCCAATGCAGAGCTTACACAGGGGATGAGACACACTGGAATAGGAGCATGGAGAAGGTATCGGGGGTTGGTAGCCTGTCAAGAAAACCTGCTACTTTTCCATTTGCTTTAAATTCATGTTCACAAAAGCTGACGTTTAGGTATGACGATTTTGACATCGGTTCATGTGGTCCAGCTTGGACCATTGTAAGTGTGGATGTACCAAACCTGCGGGATAGTAATTGAGCTGAAATTCACCACAAAAGGGGAGTGATCTCCTATACCAGGAATGCTCAAGCTTCTGAAGACCGGAGGCTACTTAAGCGATTTGGTAACCATTTGCAGGCCACAATGAAATGAAGTGGTTCAGAATTTCAACATTTTTATTCTGAATAACATAATGAACGTTTTTTCCTCCTGCATTCACTATGTGCCGGTGGGAGGGAGAGGAAGAGAAGCTGGATTTCAGCAGTTGCAGGAGAAAAATGGAGAGGATCGGTTCCTGTATATACTGCCCCTCCTGTCCAAGTGTATAACCGAATATGACAGGAAGGCCCCCGTTGCAACCCATAGTGATGCTACACCAGTGGTTAGGGGTGTGTGGTAAAAATCACGTCTCAACTATGGGGTTTTAACTCCCCCCCAACTGCAAATATAAACGAGCCCTTACTGTTCTGAGTTCCCGACAAGGCTACTTTCACACTGATTTGCTGCGGTTTACCCGCACTGTGAGTGCAGTGAAGTGTTATAACTGGCAGGTGTGGTGCACTTCCCGAAAGCGCACAAAAACTTCTGCATCCAGGCGTTCTGCTCCGCTTTCAGAAAGCACACCAAACCCGCAGAATGGAATAGAAGTCTATGGCTCACTGCAGCTAACCTGCAGGAAAAAAGATTAAATATAATTGTGTCGCGCTCCAAATGTGAAATATGAATCGCCTACAATTGTTAATTTTCTAATATAATTAATCCCCTTAATATTGTGCTTAATCCAAAAGCATGATCAATTATAAAAATGAATTCACTTTAAATAAAAATGCGTGATATATTAAGAATTAAAATTGTGAGATAAATAAAAGAATATATAATAATAAACCAAATAAATAATTTAAAAAAAAATGTAAATATATATGAAAAATATTGTGAATGTCCCAAAATTAATTAATGTAATCCAGACCAGGTGTTTTTATAAAAAAATATTTTAACCTGCAAGAAAGCCACAGGGGCACTGCGCTGCACATGTTGATCAGTGTGAAAGCAGCTTAACCCCTTCGCTGCGGCGCCTCCCGACCTTTTAAGGGTTTCAGAAGCCGGGAGGCGGGGTTTAGGGTCATGTGACACGCCGTCACGGCGGTCACATGATCAGGAAAGGTCCCGATCGAAAGAGAAGATTGGGACCTTTCCATGAGTACCTGACATCTCTGGACATCTCCTGTACTGTGTCTGCAGTCTCTGGTCATCTCCTGTACTGTGTCTGCACAGTCTCTGGTCATCTCCTGTACTGTGTCCGCAGTCTCTGGCCATCTCCTGTACTATGTCTGCAGTCTCTGGTCATCTCCTGTACTGTGTCCGCAGTCTCTGGTCATCCAATGTACTATGTCTGCAGTCTCTGGTCAATCTCCTGTACTGTGTCCGCAGTCTCTGGTCATCTCCTGTACTGTCTGCAGTCTCTGGCCATCCCGCAGTCTCTGGTCATCTCCTGTACTGTCTGCAGTCTCTGGCCATCCCCTGTACCCGCAGTCTCTGGTCATCCCCTGTACTGTGTCTGCAGTCTCTGGCCATCCCCTGTACTGTGTCGCAGTCTCTGGCCATCCCCTGTACTGTGTCTGCAGTCTCTGGCCATCCCCTGTACTGTGTCTGCAGTCTCTGGCCATCCCCTGTACTGTGTCTGCAGTCTCTGGCCATCCCCTGTACTGTGTCCGCAGTCTCTGGTCATCTCCTGTACTGTGTCCGCAGTCTCTGGTCATCTCCTGTACTGTGTCCGCAGTCTCTGGTCATCTCCTGTACTGTGTCTGCAGTCTCTGGTCATCTCCTGTACTGTGTCTGCAGTCTCTGGTCATCTCCTGTACTGTGTCTGCAGTCTCTGGTCATCTCCTGTACTGTGTCTGCAGTCTCTGGTCATCTCCTGTACTGTGTGCAGTCTCTGGTCATCTCCTGTACTGTGTGTGCAGTCTCTGGTCATCTCCTGTACTGTGTCCGCAGTCTCTGGTCATCTCCTGTACTGTGTCTGCAGTCTCTGGTCATCTCCTGTACTATGTCTGCAGTCCATTGGGCGCACGTTCTCAGCACATATGTGTGTTTTTTAATAGAACGCAAATGTACGGCTGCTCGGCGTCTAGGCCTAGACGCCGGGAGGCCGCACATTTGCTTTCGGCTGGCGTCAAGAGGTTAATAACCTTTTTTAAAAATTCTTGTATGCTCATTACAGAACTATGTGATATGTAATACACTGAAGTTTTCTCTTCCAGCTTCTGCTGCCATTGCTCTGTCTCCAGGCTGCTACAAAGGTCCCAAGTGAAGCACACTTGGTATTGCTCTGTCTGGGACAGAAGTTTGAGCTCCAGAGGAAGCATTGGCTTGTGCAGCTCTTTCTCCCTCCTCGGCCACTCGCTTCCGCCACAGATTCCATGCACTCTGATGCTCTGGGATGGCAGATCTGCAACCCGCAATCTTCCATCCCAGAGCATGAGGTCACGGGCCACGAGTTGAGCACCCCTGTCCTATACAGGTATTCATCTGCTCGGCATGGCACCATTTAAAGAACACTTTGCCTTTTCTAAATTAATGCAGAGACGATTCTGATTTGGATGAGGTGGAGATCAGGATATCACCCCACCCCACCTCTCCACATTGTTTAATCAGAGAAGGCCTTGCTAACCTCCCTAGCGGTCTGATTATGTCAGTATTTCTGTGCTCAAAACTACTTTTTTTTTGCATGAAAATATGTTATTTTTTATTGTAGGCCTGTAATTCTTAGGAATAACTCACTGAAATCTGTCCGAACAAGAGTCTAGTAAACATCCCGGGTAGGATAAAATTTGAAACACGAAATCATAAATTATAATATTATAAACTAGAAAATCTACAATTTCTGGGGAAATTGTGTGAAGTTTTCTTGCAACCAACCGTAACCAAATGGTTGATGAAATGTAAGCAGTGCACATGGCAAGCCTGATAGAGTGAGAAATGCATCTCAGTACTTGTATTTTGCAGCTCACAGTCCAGCCTGGTGACTCATCTGCCTGGTGAGTCATCTTTGGTTGCTATAGCAACTCACTCTAGTCAGGAATGTGAGAAGTGCTGTTCTAAACACACTGAAGGCTCCAACTTGCCAACTTCACTGGCGATTGCCATCTTCAAACAACTTGTAGTTTTAAAAGTATAAAAGCTACAGCGAAGAGCTTGATATTGTGAGAATCACAAGAAGCAGAGCTAAATTTTGATGTATAGTATGTGTCTGAAATATTGATAAAAATGAAGGCACAGTCGCAGTTGAAAAATGTCCCTTCAAATTTCAAGTGGCTGTGAGTGAAGTTTCAATGAAAGTCAATAGGAGGGGTGAGTTGCAAACAAATGGTTTGCTATAGCAACTCACTCAGTCACAGGAAGCTGAGAAAGGCTTTTCAAAACACACTGCTCCAACTTGCCAACTTCACTGGCAATTGCCATCTTCAAACACTTGTAGTTTTAAAAAGTGTAAATGTTAGCATGGCAAATTTGGCAGCGAAGAGCTTAATATTATGAAATAATCACAAGAAGCAAGCTAAATTTTGATGTATAGTATGTGTCTGAAATATTAAAAATGAAGGCACAGTCGCAGTTGAAAAATGTCCCTTCAAATTTCAAGTGGCTGTGAGTGAAGTTTCAATGAAAGTCAATAGGAGGGGTGAGTTGCAAACAAATGGTTGCTATAGCAACTCACTCAGTCACAGGAAGCTGAGAAGGCTTTTCTAAACACACTGCTCCAACTTGCCAACTTCACTGGCAATTGCCATCTTCAAACACTTGTAGTTTTAAAAGTGTAAATGCTACAGCGAAGAGCTTAATATTATGATAATCACAAGAAGCAGAGCTAAATTTTGATGTATAGTATGTCTCTGAAATATTAAAAATGAAGGCACAGTTGCAGTTGAAAAATGTCCCTTCAAATTTCAAGTGGCTGTGACCTAACCCTAACCAAGTGATTGATGAAATGTAAGCAGTGCACATAGCAAGCCTGATAGTGAGAAATGCATTTCAACTTGTATTTTGCAGCTCACAGTCCAGCCTCGGTGACTCAGCTGCCTGGTCAGTCATGGTTGGTTGCTATAGCAACTCACTCAGTCACAGGAAGCTGAGAAAGGCTTTTCAAAACACACTGCTCCAACTTGCGAAATTCACTGGCGATTGCCATCTTCAAACACTTGTAGTTTTAAAAGTATAAATGCTACAGCGAAGAGCTAGATATTGTGAGAATCACAAGAAGCAGATCTAAATTTTGATGTATAGTATGTCTCTGAAATATTACAAATGAAGGCACAGTCGTAGTTTAAAATGTCCCTTCAAATTTAAGGTGGCTGTGAGTGAAGTTTCAATGAAAGTCAATGGGAGGGGTGAGCTGCAAACAAATGGTCATATTGTGAAAACTATCAGGACTATGGCTTAGTCGTGAACATTTTGAGTGACAGCAGGGATAGCTGAACGTTTTGAAATAAGATATGTGTAGGTGGGCTTGAAAATGAGGGAGTGATGGCAGTTTAGAGATCATGTTCTGATTTTTCCTTCCACACTGTAGCTTTGTCAGCTCCCACTCTAGTTGCGCCATTCATTCCTATGGGACAAATTTCACCACAAAAACGGCGATATTTCGTGAACCATTCGGCGAAACGTTCCACAAAGTAATAGCACACCAATCGGGAACAATCCGCACGTTTCGGTATATTACTTGTCTATGTAGTGTAAAAACTGTGGGAGGAGTTAGGGTGGTAAAATTGGCTATAATAAGAATAAGAATATATTTGTGAGATAACAATAAGTGTTCCTGCTATGCAAGAACACTTAATAATCATAAAAAATAATATAATAATAATACATTTAATTCAATAATATAATAATAAAGCCAAAAACACTGAAATTTGAAACATAGCACCAAGTTCGCACATCGCTGAGCAAAGTCGCAAAATCGGTTGCAGTGGCTCTGAAGAAGAGGAAAGACCTCGAAACACATCAGCCTATCGCATGACTACTCTCCCCATTGTGGAGTGTTACTCAGCGCGGTGTTGACCCAGCTGTTCTTTTATGATGTGCCTTGACTTTATTGTCGTTTGTGAGTACAACACCTACTTTATTTCTTATTAAACATTTTTTATGGTAATGCACTAGGCCTGTGCGCCCTCTCTTTGTTCTTTCCTCATTCAGTATATTTGGATTCCCCCAGTCTGTTGAGGGCAGCAAGGTGTGCATGTTCCAGGACATTCTTAATGCGGTAGCAGCCTGCATCAAGTCCATCCCCAAGCGCAGGAGCATTTGTGTTTGCTGGTTCATTGTTCTGATGATGAATTTCCCCCACGAATCATTATCACTCAATTCTGCAAGTGGTTCTGATTTACTATCGCTGTTCTCTAGCCGGTCTAAAACCGCTTTTGACCTAAAGGGACGCTTTTTGGACGCCATGGACGTTTCTCAGTTTCCAGGCAGAAAGAACAGTAAAAATGCAGGCAGGGCGCCGGACAAAGCACTCGGGACAAAATGTATGTGAAATGGTTTGATACAGGAATGGAATACTATCAGATTTTAGTGTATTGAGTGAATGTCACATTTTGAAATTTTTCAATTTCCTGCCGGTTCCGTCCCCCGTATGTCCCAACGTCACAGGGAACAGAAGACAGATGCCGGCATTGGCCGGAGGAGATGGCCGGGGACGCTGCAGGGCGTCAATAAATCAATAAACCATATCTTGTGGGACTGCTACAATATATGTGTCATCCCACAAAGGATTATTCAAGTGAGTCCAATAAAGTAGAAGTCCTCCAAAAGAAGTGCAGTGCTGACAGATATTCTTAACCTCCCTAGCGGTCTGATTATGTCAGCATTTCTGTGCTCAAAGCGGTACATTATTTTCGATGGAAATATGTAGTTTTTTTATTGTAGGCTGTAATTCTTAGGAATAACTCACTGAAATCTGTCCGAGCAAGAGTCTAGTAAACATCCCGGGTATGATAAAATTTGAAAAACGAAATAATAAATTATAATATAATAAATAATCATAAATAGTAATCATATCATATTAATACATTTAATTCAATAATATAATCAAACCAAAAACACTGAAATCTGAAATATAGCGCCAAGTTAGCACATCACTGAGCTCAGTCCCAGAATCATTTTCAGTGTCTGATGACGAATTTCCCCCACGAATCATTATCACTCAATTCTGCAAGTGGTTCTGATTTACTATCGCTGTTCTCTAGCCGGTCTAAAACCACTTTTGACCTAAAGGGACGCTTTTTGGACGCCATGGACGTTTCTCAGTTTCCAGGCAGAAAGAACAGTAAAAATGCAGGCAGGGCGCCGGACAAAGCACTCGGGACAAAATGTATGTGAAATGGTTTGATACAGGAATGTTATACTATGTGATTTTAGTGTATTGAGTGAATGTCACTTTTTCACATTTTTCAATTTCCCCCCATTCTGTCCCCCGTACGTCCTGACGTTCGCAGGGAACTGAACCCAAAAGACAGATGCCGGAGTAGATGTCCATGGACACTGCAGGGGGGACATCGCGGGAGTGCAGGACAAGGTAAGAGAAGAAGAGATCCCGGAGCAATGCTTCAGTGTATTCCCGAGTGTAGCTCGGGGTTACCGCTTGTGGTGCTGAAACTTTACCCCGAGCTACACTCGGGAACAGGGGCGGACTGACAACTCATGGGGCCCCCGGGCAATAGGGGATCATGGGGCCCCTGTGTCCTTGCCCAAACTCAAAAAAGCCTATGAAAAAGGTACCAGGGGCATCTCATGGGGCCCCCTACTCTGACCCCGGGCCCTCGGGCAGTGCTCTTGTTTCCAAATGGTCAGTACCCCCGAGCGCAGGACAAGGTAAGTGCTGGAGGGATCCCGGAGCAACGCTGCAGGGTATTCCCGAGTGTAGCTTGGGGTTACCGCTTGTGGTGCTGAAACTTTACCCCGAGCTACACTCGGGAATACCGCCAGGGAGGTTAAGAAAATGCAATGGCATCCATGCGGAGTGAGTGACCTTCTGTGTTTACAGTGTAGCAGATCAAATGCTTGCTACCGGACCCGGAAGCAAGTGGAGATGGCTGGAGTAGCAGTGCCTCCTATAGTGATTTCCAGCTTCCACGGAGATCCCAAAGGTACGGAACAATACGTACTTACATTGGTCCAAGCTCAACCAATGTAAGTATGGAAAAAATGCCACTCCTAAACTGCAGCTTTATGTAAAAGACTATCACATTAACATTCTACAAGTCTTTTTTTTTTTTTTTTTTTTTGTTTTGCAATGCCATTTCTTTATTTTGTACAAATGTCAGAATCTTTGTGTTTCCATAGCCGTACATGATGTCACAGCTGTATAGGCAGCCTAATACACATTCATCACCTTCCCTGAGAACGGCTTTGTCACATCTGAATTGCTTAGCACTCTTGTGTGCAGAGACCTAATCTGCTGTAGAGAAATCTTAACTATTGGAGCTGGTGAGTGACTCAATCCAGCACTATCCAACCAAAACAGGGAGATTTAAAGCTGACGTTTAGGCAAACAGATAAATACAGAGATAAAATACATATACAGGAGCTGTTTCTGTCAATCAAGTCCTGAGATTTACACAGGTTTGACGCACAGCCCTGGCTGGGAAGGTAGGAGACCTGGATTTTCTTTTGATGCAGTTAAGTACAGGTCTACCAGTAAAATAAAATAAGTGAGCGCTTTTCAAATGAAGCAGCTAGGCACACAGGATACCCAATAACAATCCTCACAAAAACATGAAAAAAAGTGCAGCGCTAAGATAAAAGCAAAATGAAAATAATAAATAAAATGCTGAAATAAAACATGTATAATAATAGTCCCAATGTAAATGAAATTAAGTGAGAAATGCGCACTAACCAGATGTGCACATTAAATGTGCAGTGTAGATATCCTACAGTTCAGAAATTGGTCATCTGGGTGGTGAAGATAGGTAGATTCCCTCGGGCAGAATGGATCCACGGATGGTACATAGAACCAGGCACAACTCCATCAAAGGGTAAGACTCCTTCACTGGGTAGAGCGGGTTATAGTGTCTAAAAAATAGATGCTCCCCGCAAGGGGTCAAGAAAAAAAGGTGCCCATGGTGATGTATTGTTTGATAAAACAGCATTTATTGGAAGCAAGTGACAGTAGCAAAGGGATGCATCCGATACAAAAATTGAAGTGTACAGAAGGACTAACCGTCCTGAAAAGAGTAGTGGCCGCCGGAGCTCCACTGTGCTCCGACGGCGTGACGTCACGGTGTACGTAGGCTCCTCCTTACGCGTTACGCGCCAAGCACATCCTCAAAGAAAGAACCAGCCTGTGGAAGAAGAAGCAGTAGACCGAGAGGGACAATTCCTTGTCATTCTGCTATTTCTTCCTATCAGCATGTCTCTTGTTGGTGTATGAGCACTTCAGCGCAACTAAATTGCTCATTGGGCTGCTTCACCTTCTTCAAGTCTGAGCCCTGCTATACAGGGATTATAAGAAGCTGATGCAGCAGATCCATCCACGTACACTGTTTGCATTTAGACGTATAAATATTTAATGATGTCTTCATGATTACAGAGCTGCATTAAAGTGATATTAAAATATTAAAGGCAATTTTTCATTTTTAAATGTCATATTGGCCTGCTTTGCGCAGTGCTGCAAGCAAGGGTTTTTTTTTTTCTGGACCTTATTGATGCAGTACGCACTACCCTACACTTGGAGGATCAGCCTGCTGTCTCTTCCCTTGGGCCTATTAGAGCTCCTACAACTGCAAAGACTTTTCCACAACTACTATTTGACTTATTCTCTATGCAAAATGTGTGTTATAACTGATCCCTTTTAAGAGGCAATTTGTTAAATGGTTGTCTATACCCATTTTTGATCCACCAGTGACGCGCCTTAACAGGAATACTACCAGAGGGTGTGCTTAACTTTTAAGGATTGACAGGCAGTTGAAAACCCTAAATCCCAATTTTTTTTGTCAGGTTCTGGCCTCTATGCCATATCAGCTTTGACCTTAATCTGCTAAACCAGGGTTTCTCAGCCAGGGTTCCATAGAAACCTAGGACTCCTCCAGAGGTTGTTAGGGGTTCCTTCAGCAATGAGACATTTCTCCCTCTTAGATAAATTCCCACTTACGCCATTTGATCCTTTTAACTATCTGGGAATTCTTCTCAATTACCAAAAGTATAAGGAGCATTCTTCCTGCTGACCATCACACTGAAGTATCATGAGTTGTAGCCATTGTAATTTTTAGCCCCTAAGACCAGAATGTTATTTGAAGAGTTCCTCCGTGTTGAAAAGGTTGAGAACTGCTGTGTTAAACTGTGGCACAGTAGGGATAGAGTCTTCAAAAAGGATCTCTCCACTAGGACACTGATGCCGTATCTGGCTCACTTGACCTTCGAAGGATGCCGGCTCTAAACTTGATACAGTGAATTCACTGGTGGCCATAGGGTATGTTAGGAGATCTAGGAAGAGGTCAACTGAATTCCATCCTTTTACTCCTGTAGTAGGTGCCCTCAGGCCTTCAGAGCTTGACTCTCAACCCTCAAGGCTTGAAGTCAGAGACCGGCTAAATCCTCTGAAAACAAATACTCTTCATACATTAGGCATCCAAAATTACACAATATGTGTATAAAAAAAAAAAGTATCAGTTTTATTGTATTACAAAACATCAATAAAAACAATCTTAAAAATAGTTATCCTCCAATGCTATTCAAACAATCTCATTATAAATTGATATTGTCTATTTATATTTGGTGAATTAATACGGTTTGAATTTCTTTATATACTAGGTAACAGACGATCACTCCCCTGACGAAGATCTTGATGATTGAAATGCGTTGAGTTTCCACATTTGACATTTTCATATACAATTTGGTATAATTTGGTACATATGATGTTCCATATGTGGATAGAGAAAACAGCTGATGGTGTAGATGAGTGATCTGTAAAGAATTTGTCAGCCATTTTTCTTTTTTTTTTTTTTTTTTTTTTTAAGATTGATGTTTTGTAATGCAATAAAATTTATACTTTTTGTTATCAATTTGAGGATGTGGCACCAATGCTGTAAAGAGGCCAAACTGGGACTTAATTCTTCAGTTAAGCCCCCTGAAACGATGTCTGCATGAAGGTGTGCCTTCATGTCAACAAAAGGCAGGCTGACTAAACCACTTTAGGCTCACAGGTTAATTCTCTGCGTCTGGTGCACCCCTTTAACTGCTCCCTCTTCTCTCCCCTGTGCTACTGTACAGATTAATCCACCTTCCTATTTTCCTTGGGTTCTGTAATCCCTACACTCCTTTCACCAGTCCATGTGAAAATGCAGTCTGGTGCTGTGCCCCCATCTGGCCCATCTCATTTTCTCTACGTAAAACCCCCAGGCCTTGGTATATAAATGCTCTTCATGGTTCTTGGTACTCCTCAGCACCTTCCCCTCCAGAGAGGCCCCTTGATCAGGACCAGCTCTGACTAATCCCTACTTGGATGAGGATCTGGGTCCTTGGTGTCACACCTGCTACACCTTGAAACACTGAATCCTGTATTTAGCCTAGAGCATTTTCTGGCATCTCCATTGTGGATGCTCAAACTACATCCTGTGAAGAGAGTCAGCTTTGTGGATTCTTGTAGCCAGCATCTTCCCAAAGGGCCCAACACCTGCAAGATCCAACTGGATATGGCTTCCATCAGTTTTTAGCACTGGTTGCTGTCACCTGTGGGTCCGGTTAGTAAACTTTGCTTCTTGCTACAAAAGCCTACAGCCTGTGTACCTTTCTCCAACCTTTCGGGGGGGTAGTTTTTTCATCTGTATCCAGGAGGCTTATCTCTTGGGAGAACAGTTATTCTTGGGGCTACTGTTCCTTCCACATCATAAGATCCCTCCTTGGGCAGGGCGCCTGGTTTGGATACCGTTTAGGCTCTGCCGTGACTTCACCACTGAGAGATTGGGAGTCCTTCCTACCACAGGGAGGTAGAGTGGATCCTACACTGGACAATGTAAAGAGGACAATGCCTTGGCAACCAGTTCATCTAAGCTTTTCTAGACAGGGAAATGGATTCATGGATCTAGGTGCACCTCAGATCCTGCATCGAAGTCAGATATTGTAGCTGGAAGGCCCTGTGCCTACCTGTTTTTCAGTAGGCAGAACACTGCTTATCCTTTCCTAGGGTTGGAGAATATCTTGAATACTTTGTGGGATCTCTAGAATGTCCCAGCGACAGCGGTCTGAACACTACATGCATTGCCATGAGACACAAAACATGACACACTAAAACGTGTGGCCTGAGCTCAGTTTTGGACCCATAGATTGAGGGATAGGAAGATTGCAGCTTGTGGCAAGTGTGAACGAACAACGACATACAGTAGGTCTGTCAAGGGATCAAACCCTGTCCCAATCCACTCAGCATAAGAGAAACTGGGTAGTGTTACAATTAAAGTTGTAGTTTAATTTCCTTATATTTTTGTTTCCTGATTCCTCCCTTTATCAACGTGCTATTGAGGATTTATTTTTTTTAACTTTCCATTTTCATTACATTCCCTGATTTAGATCCAGTGACCTTACCTCCGGGTGTGGTTCTCTGTGTTTTTCTATCCAATGCAGGTAGATCATGGCTGGTGGGAGGGACCATACTCCTCTCATGAGTCCTCAGCCATGATGCAAGCAGTGGGTTGGCTCTTGATGGGCGGATGTAGGCTGAAGAAGTGGGTTTTCCCATTTGTGTGCAGACCGCCCTAGGTAGCATCCACCTGTGATGCTAGGTCTCCATGATTAAAAGAACTGAAATCCAATAATAGAAAAGTATGGATTAGAGACGGCCAGGCTGGGGTAGGAACAAGATAGATGATGCTGGACATCCCTCGGCCAGGAAATGAGGTGGCTGACTTGCTGCACCTTCTAGTGCACAATTCGAGAAGCACACAGTGTGCAGTGAGATCAGAGTTAATAATTTCAGTAGATGCAAATGGAGAAACAGAAAAAG